GCCTAGGATTATCTATCTTAACATCTCATTTGTTGATTTTTATTGGCCATTGCCTTGAATAGAAATCATCCTAGCCTCTGGGTGGTGCAAATGTTTCATGCACTTGGCTGCTAACCAAAAGGTTTGAGGTTTGAGTCTAACCAGGGATTTCCTCAGAAAAAAGGCCTTGCTATCTACTTTGGAAAAATAAGCCATTGAAAATGCTGTGGAGCAGTTCTATTACAATACACATGGAGTCCCCATGAGTTCAAGTTGCCTCGACAGGAACTGGTTTGGTTTTGATTTTTCCTGTAATATAGCAAAAACAGCTAGACAGTAAGAGGTGTGGATTAACCGGAGATTCTGTCAAGGAGAGCCGGAGAGCTTGAACCTTGGTGCACATTTTTGCCTTAAACCAGGACAAAACTGTAGGGCAGTCACTTGTTATCCTTATGTATTTTTCAAAGGATTGGCACACATGGTAGAGCATGGTGGGACTGGTAGGAAAATGGAGTCCTTTGATCCTACAATGGATGTAGCCACTAAAATTTTTACTGCTTTTGCTTCAGTAGATAATGATTACCACCTGTTCAAGGATACATTAAAACTCCTGCCTTTTGCCCCATCACAATTTAAGTTTCTTTAGTAAAACAGAATTTTGATTGTGAGAATCATGTTAGTTTATATTTGGGAGAAGTTACCTTAACACTGCATTTTCAAAATGACTTTCTTTGCAAATTAACTTGTTCTGGTTTTCAAAAGCATTTTCTTTGTAGAAATAATTTCTAATGGGTACAATGTTACTGTAATGGTTAAAATTTTTTTATTGAGATTTTATATTTTAATTATTTAACACTGTGGTAATATTTAAGGAGCTCTGATGGAGGAGTGGATAAGGCATTTGTCCTTTTAACCAGAAGGTCAGCAATTCAAACCTACCTGCTGCTCCTTGGAAGGAAGATGGGGTAATCTACATCTGTAAAGATTTACATCCTCCAAAACTCAGTGGGTTCACTATGAGTCAGAATCAACTGTGAGTTTGGTTTGATTGTTGAGTATAGCAATAATTGTTGATAAAACTATAATAGGAAATTTTTAGTGAAATGAAATTTTTTAGTTCATACAGGAACTCTGGTGGCTTAGTGCCTAAGGCATTTGACTGCTGACCGGAAGGCTGGTGGTTCAAACCCACCAGCCACTCCTCAGAAGGAAGATGGGGCAATCTACTTCCGTAGTGATACTGCCTCAGAAACCCAAGGAGGGGTCTCTGAGTTGGAGCTGACTGGACGGCAGTGAGTTATTACCTCCCTGTGGCAAAACTCTTGAGCCTTTTGACCAATGTTAAAATCATAATTTTTAAATGACAACAAATAGGAATAGGGAATTACAAGACTTACTTCTTGAAGTGGACTATTATATTTTGTCTGCATAATAGTTTTTAGTTTTAAGTCTAGATTTCTTTGGGTCAGGAACCACTTCCTTGAGAGTAGAACAAGAGGATTGATTCTGTTAATGTGCAAAAGTTAACTTGTAGTCCCTCTACTGGCTGCCTTTGTCATAGCAGAGGTGTTTTTTTTTGTTTTTGAAATCTTACAGTTATGATAACCCAACCACTGCCATTGAATCAGTTTCTACTTTAGGACAGAGTAGAATTGCCCCCCATAGGGTTTCCAAGACTGTAAATCTTTACAGAAGCAGACTGCCTCATTGTTCTCCTGTGGAGCAGCTGGGGGAGTTGGAGCTGCTGACCTTTTGGTGAGCAGCTAAATGCTTTAACCATTGTACCACCAAAGATCTTTATAATTGTGGTAAAGGCTATGCATTACTTTATGACCAAGGTGAATTTTGAGAGAAAGTCCCCAGTGGAGTGAGTTCATAAACATGCTTATTAAGAATAAAAATATAAAATATAAAGCTTCAAGAATTACTGAATTAAATTGCAGAAGCTTGGCACCAGAGAGCATGGTATTTTCCAGTTAATGATATTATATTATAGAGATTAAATCATAAGTAATTGAGACTTTTGAATGTTCAGTTATCCTGTATGAAAACAAAAAGTAATTATTTTAAGATACTGGCAAACTATTGACAAACATGCCAGTTTTTTATTATGCTGTCGCCAACAGTAAGTATACTGTAAAAGATGAGAGGAGTAGAGCAAAATTGTATATAAGAAAACTTTCTTGAAGCAACACTTTCTGGTCATTTAGGCCTTTCTGCTGTGGTTTAGACATTCATGTTTAAGTGTATGTTAATTTGGAACATTTAAATAGGAGAAGTTTTTTCCTGGAGAAATAATAAAACATTCTTCTGTGTATAAATTATATTTATCATTTTTCTAATGCTTATACTACCTAATAATGCTTTCTTAGTGTGATTCTTGACTAAACTCAGAAGGAGATGTTAGACAATTACATATATAGTTAATTGAGTGCAAGAAGGATAGTAATATTTTTCTTTATTATTTTCTTTTATCTTTCAGTTTTCTGAGATTTAATAGCATTAAATAACAGTGCTGTTTTATTTTGTATTTATATAAATACTTCACAGATTGGTTGAAGTTATATATCCTTTTTTGAAAGTAAACATTGTTATGTTGTGTTTTATTTCACTGTGTTTGTCTTAGGGAAAGGCATATTCATTTACATATAGAAACACTGATGGATAAGCAGTCAGCAATAAGAAACCAATTAAAGAAATAGTCCTATCACAGTTAATTTTACTACAGATAGAATATATTAAAAAATGAAAAAGACCTGATTATAATACCATCCATTTTTGGGTGAATATGGCACAATCCAGGTTGGTTTAGAATTGTGTATCTAAGAGAATTTAGTTGATACTAACAGGACCTCTAGATACTTCAGAAAGACAATGTGATTTAGATATGGAAAGTCTTACTAAGATACTTTGCAAGTTGGGTGACCCTGGGTCATGTCTTTTAATCACCTTGAACATTTACCTTACCATGTATTGAGCATCAAATGTGATGATATACATGCTTTATTGTTACTATCAAGAGCCTGGTTATTATAGTAATTTTTGGCATAACCGCTGTGGAGGAGTAGTGTTTCGACTAAAAGCTTTGTTTTGTCCTGTAGAAAAAAGTAACTTTGATTTTAGTGTCTGAATTTAGCTTAAATTAATAACTCAAATAACTTTTTGCTGAGTTTCAGTACACTTTGAGTTTTGACATTATAATTCTTAAGAATGTATGTATTAATTTTGTGGTGGACATTATCATCCATAAGGGTCTTAATATGTAGTAGATTACTGCTTTATAATTATAAATATGATTAATTTTTGGGCTTCTGAATTTAAGATATAATGAAATTAGGTTGTTCAGTGGCTTTAAATTTTAGAAAAATTTATATTTATTAAAATTGAATAGATTGTGGACAGGGAAAAGGAAAAGCATTACACTTGTGAAAACAAGTCATTGCTCAGAGGTGGGAATGAACATTTCCTGTTTTTCAGCCCATGAGGAGACATGTAATTATTAGAGTTGATTATTCATGGGAGGGGGGGCAGGTAAACAACCCAATATAGTGTAATGTTGCCCAAGAATATTTTCCATTTAACATGAATGTTGTAGAGCAGGAAGGGAGGGTAAATTAATTCATGTTTTCTTCTTGTGATGTTTGAATGCTGTTATGCATTTGAACTCTTCTAGACGGTTATAATTATATCCAATACATTTAATTTTATTTTGCCCAGAGGCCCATTCTTCTGGAACTTCTGGAACCATATTTCCTGGGCATTGGTTTGAAAAATAATGTGACAGTGACAAGCTGTGTGACTTGCTCAAGACGTTTAATCTAACAGATACCCCCATTTTATGATGATTGGGTTATAGTCACAGAATTCCTGTGTGACATGTTTGTAAATCCATTCATTCAAGAAATATTTCCTATGTACTTTGGTGTTCTTGGAGGTAGCAATCATCTAAATATAATACTAAATCCTTCTCTTCCCCAGCGTTAAGTAACCATCCTTAATTTTAATTTTTCTTGTTGAACAATTGTTACATTTTGCTAACATCATAGTAACACAAGGCACTGCCGTTGAGTCGAATCTGACTCATAGTGACCCCTCCTTGGGTTTCCAAGGCAGTATCACTATGGAAGTAGACTGTTCACCCTTCCTGCCGAGGAGTGGCTGGTGGGTTTGAACTGCCAGCCTTCTGGTTAGCAGTCAAATGCCTTAGGCATTATGCCACCAGTAGGCCTGCTGTTTTTCATGGTGCCAGCACTTGCACACATTTACCTAGTTACTTGTTTAAACACTTTAATTACAGGCATAGTTATGACAGTATTCACCTATGCAGCCTTACACTTTAAAACATTTTCTCAGAATGCTCTAGTTTGTTACATCTTAAAAAATGTCAAATTACTAAAATTGAAGTACTAGAGTCATTTTTTCAGCAGTCACTTTTAATTACAGAAATATAAATGCTAATCATAAAATGGGAGCTCTGGTAGCATAGTGGCTAAGGCACTTGACTGCTAACCAAAAGGCTGGTGGTTCAAACCCACCAGCCACTCCTCGGAAGGAAGGTGGGGCAATCTACTTCTGTAGTGATACTGCCTGGGAAACCCAAGGAGGGGTCACTATGAGTAGGGTCCGACTCGATGGCAGATAACAATCATAAAATTAAAAACACATGTATAAAGAGGTTATACATTTCACCTTTTTCTCTACCTAATTCCATACTTTGAAGGTTAATTACTGTTTTAGTTTCTGTATCCTTATAAGCATTAAATGTGCAAACAGGTATATAACCAAACCAAACCCACTGTCATTGAGTTGATTCCTTCTGCATAGTGGCTGGTCGGTTTGAATTGGCAACCTTCTGGTTAGTAGTCAAATGCCTTAGGCACTGCACCACCACAGCAGGTATATACTGTGTATATATTATACTATAAAATAGAAGATACCCTATTCTGAGAATTGACTTTTTACTCAAAAAAATTGTAGGAGTATAAACTTTTAATACAATCAAATGTGTTTTTTGACTTTAGGGAAGAAACCCTTTTTTCTTGGAGCCAGCAATAATTATTACAATTACTGATGGGAGCAAGTTGACTACTACCAGTGGAGTCCAGGATGAGGTAAGTTTTGCTTATAACAGCATTGATTATGCAAATGCAGTTGAAGTCTTTATTTATATATGCACTGTAAGGATATAGAACATCTTAAATAGATTATCTTGATTTTTTTGATGCAATTTAGGTCTGTCTCCTAGGGCCCGTCCAGATGATTTGTTTGTAGAAGTATGGTCTCTAAATGTTCTTGAGTAAGAATCCCTTCTGTGGAAAGATTTTGAGCATCCCTCTCATCCCAAGTATATGTGTATTTATACATTCATGTAAATAAAGGTGACAGCATATGTTTGTATAATAATCATTAGTAAAATTGATATCTTATTTTCACATTAAAAAAAAAAAAAGGAAACAGTCTTCTAACAAATTTTTTCCGTATTTGAGAGGATTGTTATGTGCACTCCACTGTAAAGGCTACTAGACTAGAAAACAGCAAAGTCAGGGGGAATTTAAGATTAGGGAAAGTGGAGATTTTGAACATTTCATTCTGTCCAAGTTGAATACAGTGTAACTACTTTGTAGCTAACATCATCCATTGTCTACCAGCATGCCTTGTGGAGAGTTAACTTTGCATAGTTTTGTAGGGTGAATGCAATAGATTTTAAAAAAAATAAGGTGTTTTTCCTATAATATTTGAACTGCTCTTGAACATTTTCCAAAATAGGTTGATTTAGAAGATTATTTAGACTATTCTTTGCTCTTTGCATTTGCTTTAGAATCTTAATTTTAATTTCTCTTACATTTACGAAGAGTTTGATTAAGCAGGAAAAGTATCTTTAGCAGTATTTTCATTGTGTGACATTGTGAAATTCCAGTTGGACATGGAGTCGGGACATTGGTTGTAGTCTTGACTCAACTACTTTCTAACCATTAACTTTGCATGGGTCATCTAACCTTCCTAACTCTGTATCCTTATTGATGGAATAAAGATGATTATTCTTGCTTTATTACTTCAAAAGGTGTTGCAAGTCTGAAAGGAAATATATGTGAAAGTGCTTGGTAGGTTGTAAAGAAAAAGAACATAGTGAAGAATTTTGACTGCCTGATCTTGATTTTGGGGAAAGAGAGCTAGAATTGTTTTGTTTGAACAATTGATATTAAAGGGAATTTAGGATATAATTACAGATTATATAATATGGACATAAATTATAGTTCATAATTAAATAATTCATATTCTGTATGTAATTAATAGCCTTGGAATGCTCTGTAGCCACAGTTTAACAGGTTTTTGGACCTTTTTAGGCTGGGTTCCTACATGCAAAATAATGCATTCAAGGTGATCTGCCTTACTGCTTTTGTAGGAATCGCCTTTGGGATACAATATATTTTGTTCCCATATATGTGAGTCTGTATTGTTTGTAATATATGTTTTGTGAGACCTTCTGTAGCTTTTAAAAACACCTTGAAATAGATATGGGTTATTAGAATTGCTCCTTTCCTTCTATCTAGGTCCTTCCTTGGAAAGGGATTTGAGAAATGTGACTGTGTATAACCAGAAATTACTTTAGAGTAAGGTTAGGAAGATTTTCCTGTGGGCAAGGGTCTTACTTTCATTTCTCTTGCATCTTCTACAGTATGTAGCCGTAGTACTGAGAGCACAGATTCTATTAAAAAAAAAAAAAAGTTGATTATAGACATTACTGTTTTGAATCTAGTAGTTACCCAGCTCAAAATTGTTTACTACTGCTACTTCTTATCTGAGGTGGAAGGTTCAGTTGTTTTAAGGCAAAGGTTATTTTAGTTATGAAGTTGGAACATAGGTCTATGATTTGTTTTGGTTTTCAAGTTCAGGAATATCTTTGATCCTTTGTAAAATGTTTGGATTTTAGTGATCTAACAAGACTTAGCTTGTGGGACAGATAATGTATGTATTGTTGTATACCAAACCAAAACCCGTAACTCACTGCCGTGGAGTCGGATCCCACTCGTAGCGACATAGCGACCCCTCCTTGGGTTTCCGAGGTGGTATCACTACGGAAGTAGATTGCCCAACCGTCCTTCTAAGGAGTGGCTGGTGGGTTTGAACCGTCAGCTGGTTAGCAGTCAAATGCCTTAGGCACTACACCACCAGAGCTCCGTGTATTGTTGTATAGATGCACATATTATTGAAGCTTATTTTCTGCCAAAATGTGAAATACTGGTGTTACTGTGCCTGAAAAATTAAATTATGTGAAGCATAAAGATGCTTTTTGTTTTGCTTTTTGTGTATGTGTGTGTGCATGTGCACATGTGTTCATATATGCTAAAATATGATCTATGTTGTAATTTCTACTAGAGAATAACAGACATAATTTTGTCTTTATATTTCTTTTTCTTAAAATTTCTCACATTTACCTTTGGAAAAAGTTGATTTTTTTTTTTGAATTTATTGAATGAATGATTGTATCAGCAATTTCTACATTAGGAGTGTGTGTGTAATTCTTAGTTGGATGTGGTTACTGTTTATGTGATCTGTTACTATTTATGGAATTGCACTTTCCACATGTATGGTATCCTTTGCTCAAGAGTCGTATTAGCTATCATAGTATACTAGTTATATCTGTTCTAATGCTACTTTTTAGAAGTAAGTATTTCTGCTGCTTTAAAATTATCGTCATAGCATATGAGGAAATCTAGAGTTCATTCAGTCTTACCTTGTTTTACAGATGAGGAAATTGAGATCCTGAGAGGTAACAACAATAACAAAAAAAAACCCAAACATTTTTTATTACCAAACTATAGATAAGAATTTATCTAAATTCTAAAGACATTCCAGCTCCTTTAGACCAGTGCTTTTTTCCTGATATACTAATGCCTCTCATTGATTTTATGTTTTTGTGTGTTCTTAAAATTTACTATTTTCGGATTTCTTGTTTGTCTGCTTCAGCTATATGTATTGTAGTGACATAGATATTTCGTTCTTATTCATACAGTCTTTCACAAATGACTGTTGTGACCAATGCGGTCTGGGCAATGAGGATAACAAAGATGAATAAGATGGATTTCTGGTTTTTATGTCCACACACAGTCTTATGGGGGAAATCAGCTATTAGTCTTATGCAATAATAAAATACAGATACAAACTAAGTATATGGGAACATTAAAGAGGGTGAGTTAATATTATCTATTTTGAACTCATGTTAAATCTTGTGTAATGTGAATTTTTATAGTTGTAATTTCAACTTTGATTGATGAGAATCAGGGATCTTGTGGATATTTTGTTACATGGTGTGGCTAATAGTTCACATCTATGAGCTTTATGAAAGAAGTCTGATATGAAGTTGTTTTGAGCCTAGAAAATAGTTAATGGAAAAACTTTGTGACATTTTGTGTCTTGACATGGGTGAGATGAATAAGCCAAAATAACCCAGTTTTTTTTTTTTTTTTTTTAATAACTAAACCCACTGCCAGTAAGTCTATTCAGACTCATAGTGATCCTGTAGGACTGCATAGAACTGTCCCAGTTTTTTTTTTTTTTTTTAACTTGTTTATCTAAAGAATATAGGAATATTAATGTACTCTGTAACAGATTTGCATCATAGGTGAAAATCTTGAGCTGTATGTTCATTTTACAGTAATTTGTGACGTTATCTTCTTTAGCCTCATTTGTTAAAGTCCAGGCCATTGTCTGAGGTATCATAGATTTTTGGATAACCATGTCCAAGGCTTTTGATGACTGCTTGGATTGGAAGTGTATGTTTTTTGCTTTTAATTTTTTAATGGAGCTATTTGATAAAACTGGTTGTTTCCAATATTTACATTTGTGAGGAATGAGTTACATGAGACTTTGTATTCTTCACACACAAGAAATTTATACTACTTTATCCCATAGTAGTAATCTTTAATGTCGATAAACATACCTGTGGTCAAGTATTCATCGTACTATTCTTTTCGACTTACTAATATATCAACTACTTTGGTAGAATTAACAAATAATGGAATTACTGAAATTTTTTTTTTCTAGTTTTCCTTCTCTGCAAAGATCTTCTCTAGTTACTACTTGCAATGGAAAACTATTTTGTACTGATTCCAGGAACACATGGCTAACTATATTGCTCAATAAAGCAGCCCAGGACAAATCCTGCCAGTGCCTTCTTGGTGATGAATGACATTCCAGGATAGTGTAGCAGTTATTTTTCTCTTCCTTGAAAGTGCTAATAGTAGTACAGTCAGTCCCAAGGTTATGAAGTTCAACGTACGTACAACCCATATTACAAACCAACCCCTGTAAAGCCTAGTATATTAAAAATTCAAGGTGCATACGATGATTTGTTATAACACATAGGAGCTGTGTTGTGAAGCACATCCAAATAACATTATTGTTACTGCATTATAGATGTTTTAGTATATTTGGAAGTGTTTTTGAAATGTTTTTTATACATACGAAGGTACATTATATACTATATACTAAGATAAACATTTGACTAATAGTGTTTGTCAAACAAACATTTGTCAAATAAACATTTGACTAACTGTACCTAATTATTCTGATTTACATATAAAGACTGATTTAGGAATAGAACTTGTTTGCAATCTGGGGACTACCTGTATTATCTTTCAGATACTGAGATTTCTATATGCTGAAGGATCCTTTTGCATTTTTTTTTTAAAAACAATTATTACTATTTTTAAACTTTTTATTGTGATTTGGGTAAAGGTTTACAGAGCAAATTGGTTTTCCATTTAACAATTCATACGCATTTTATTTCATGAGATTGATTGCAATCCCCACAATGTAACAGCACTCTTTCCACTTCCTCCCCGTGTTTAGTCTTTCCGTTTGTCCTTCTTTCCTATCCCTTCCTGCCTTCTGAGCTTTATCCCTGGACAAATGCTGCACTTCTGATCTCATATGGTTGGCTGTTCTAAGGAGTGTGTACCTCCCTGGTGTTACTGTTCACCTTAAAGGCCTGTTGTTGGTTGGAAGTTGAGCCATGGGGATGTGTTTGGTTCCAGGCTTGAAGAGTGTATAAGGGCCATAGTCTTGGGAGGTTCCACCAATCTGTATCAGACCAATAAGCCTGGTCTTT